TTTCTTAAAATCTCCCGAAAAATATAGAAAATCTTTTACGAAGAGCTGAATAAAAAAAAATGCTTGACTAGGTTGAGTTTTCGGTGAATTTTCTTAAAAATCCCGCAAAAATATCAAGATCTTTTTTGAAAAAGCCGAATCGATGGATAAACAAACCTTATTGATGCTCTCGGATTAAGATTTCAGGCGAAAATTAAAAATTCCCGAAGAATCGTAACTTTTTTTTTAATGACATTACACAGGAAAGCTCCGGAAACTGGATGATCAAAAATTATGAACAAAATTGGGCTTAGACAGAAATAATACGTCTGTCAGAGAAACAAATTCAGAGTCAATACGGCTATTGGTTTTCAAAATACTGGAACTCAAAATCATATTTTTAAAATACTTATCACAAAATTCCTCAGATTTACTTTTGTCGATCCTGAAAAAATGGTTTGAATTTTCACTGAAATAAAGTTATAAGAAACTTCTGAATTTCGAAACTAACAAAAAAGGATATTAAAAAATTGAGCTTTTGGCGGAATTACTTAAAAATTCGCAAAAAATTTGGAATATAGGTTTCGCAAAGCTGCATCGAAAAACATGACTAATTGATGACTCCAGATCAAAATTTCGGTGAAAATAAAAAATTCCGGAGGAATTGTAGCACATTTGTTGTGAAAGTATTTAGAACAACTATAAGAAAACTAGGTTGTCAAAAATAACTAACAAAATCGTGTTTACGCAGGAATAATACATCTTTCAGAGAAAATAATTCAGAGTCAGTACAAGTTATATTTTTAAAATTTTTATTTTTAGCTATTCTGGAAAAATTTTGGCAGTGTCGATTTTTTTTGTAATTTTTTGTTGCTCTGAAAAAGGTCAAACATTTGGTAAGGGACAGTGGTGAAAAAAAATGAACTTTTGGCTAAGTTACATTACAAATATGGAAGATATTTTTCGAATAGTCGAACCGAAAGCCATTAGGGCAACTCCTGAAAAACTGGGTGGTCAAAAATAATGAACAACATTGTGTTTACGCAGGAATAATACGCCTGTTAGAGCAAAAATTCAAAGTTAATACGGCCACTGGTTTTCGAAATATTGGAACTCAAAATCATATTTTTAAAATATCACAAAATTCCTCACTTTTTCTGACGATTCTGGAAAAATAGCTGGAATTTTCGACGAATTGTAGTTATTAAAAACTTCCGGATTTCGAAACCAACAAAAAAAAATCATTTAGTAATTGTCAACGTTCATCGGAAAAATGTCAAAATCTTTATAAAGGAGGGTATTGCAAAAATTTATTTTTTGACAAAGTTTGTAAAAAATCCCCCAAAAAATATGGAAGATGTTTTTCGAAGAGCGCAATGAAAAAAATGCCTTATTGATAATCTAGGATTAAGATTTCTAGCGAAAATCGATAATTCCGGAGCAATTGTCGCATTTTTGTGATGCAATAATTATTTAGGGCAATTCCGGAAAAAATAGGTGACCAAAAATTATGAAATTTAGGCAAACATAATACGTCTGCCAGAGAAAAAAATTCAGAATCAATATGGCCATTGGTTTTCAAAATATTTCAATTCAAAATTAAATTTTTGAAATATCACAAAATTCCTCACATTTTTTTTGACGATTCTGGAAAAATAACTGGAATTTTCGACGAATTGTAGTTATTAAAAACTTCCGGATTTCGAAACCAACAAAAAAAAATCATTTGGTAATTGTCAACGTTCATCGGAAAAATGACAAAAACTTTATAAAGGCGGGTATTGCAAAAATGTATTTTTTGACGAAGTTTGTAAAAAATCCCCCAAAAAACATGGAAAATGTTTTTCGAAGAGCTCAATGAAAAAAATGCCTTATTGATAATCTAGGATTAAGATTTCTAGCGAAAATCGGAAATTCCGGAGCAATTGTCGCATTTTTGTGATGCAATAATTATTTAGGGCAATTCCGGAAAAAATAGGTGACCAAAAATTATGAAATTTAGGAAAACATAATACGTCTGCCAGAGAAAAAACTTCAGAATCAATATGGCCATTGGTTTTCAAAATATTTCAATTCAAAATTAAATTTTTGAAATATCACAAAATTCCTCACATTTTATTTTTTGACGATTCTGGAAAAATAGCTGGAATTTTCGACGAATTGTAGTTATTAAAAACTTCCGGATTTCGAAACCAACAAAAAAAAATCATTTGGTAATTGTCAACGTTCATCGGAAAAATGTCAAAAACTTTATACAGGAGGGTATTGCAAAAATTTATTTTTTGACGAAGTTTGTAAAAAATCCCCCAAAAAACATGGAAAATGTTTTTCGAAGAGCTCAATGAAAAAAATGCCTTATTGATAATCTAGGATTAAGATTTCTAGCGAAAATCGGAAATTCCGGAGCAATTGTCGCATTTTTGTGATGCAATAATTATTTAGGGCAATTCCGGAAAAAATAGGTGACCAAAAATTATGAAATTTAGGCAAACATAATACGTCTGCCAGAGAAAAAACTTCAGAATCAATATGGCCATTGGTTTTCAAAATATTTCAATTCAAAATTAAATTTTTGAAATATCACAAAATTCCTCACATTTTATTTTTTGACGATTCTGGAAAAATAGCTGGAATTTTCGACGAATTGTAGTTATTAAAAACTTCCGGATTTCGAAACCAACAAAAAAAAATCATTTAGTAATTGTCAACGTTCATCGGAAAAATGTCAAAAACTTTATAAAGGAGGGTATTGCAAAAATTTATTTTTTGACGAAGTTTGTAAAAAATCCCCCAAAAAACATGGAAAATGTTTTTCGAAGAGCTCAATGAAAAAAATGCCTTATTGATAATCTAGGATTAAGATTTCTAGCGAAAATCGGAAATTCCGGAGCAATTGTCGCATTTTTGTGATGCAATAATTATTTAGGGCAATTCCGGAAAAAATAGGTGACCAAAAATTATGAAATTTAGGCAAACATAATACGTCTGCCAGAGAAAAAACTTCAGAATCAATATGGCCATTGGTTTTCAAAATATTTCAATTCAAAATTAAATTTTTGAAATATCACAAAATTCCTCACATTTTATTTTTTGACGATTCTGGAAAAATAGCTGGAATTTTCGACGAATTGTAGTTATTAAAAACTTCCGGATTTCGAAACCAACAAAAAAAAATCATTTGGTAATTGTCAACGTTCATCGGAAAAATGTCAAAAACTTTATAAAGGAGGGTATTCCAAAAATTTATTTTTTGACGAAGTTTGTAAAAAATCCCCCAAAAAATATGGAAGATGTTTTTCGAAGAGCTCAATGAAAAAAATGCCTTATTGATAATCTAGGATTAAGATTTCTAGCGAAAATCGGAAATTCCGGAGCAATTGTCGCATTTTTGTGATGCAATAATTATTTAGGGCAATTCCGGAAAAAATAGGTGACCAAAAATTATGAAATTTAGGCAAACATAATACGTCTGCCAGAGAAAAAACTTCAGAATCAATATGGCCATTGGTTTTCAAAATATTTCATTTCAAAATTAAATTTTTGAAATATCACAAAACTCCTCACTTTTTGTCTGACGATTCTGGAAAAATAGCTGGAATTTTCGACGAATTGTAGTTATTAAAAACTTCCGGATTTCGAAACCAACAAAAAAAAATCATTTGGTAATTGTCAGCGTTGCTCGGAAAAATGTCAAAAACTTTATAAAGGAGGGTTTGCAAAAATTTCCAAAAAGTATAGAAGATCTTTTTCGAAGAACTCAGTGGAAAAAATACCTTATTGATGGTCTCGGATTCAGATTTCAGGCGAAAATCGGAAATTCCGGAGCAATCGTAGCATTTTTATGATACAATTATTTAGAGCAATCCCGGAAAACCTGGATTACCAAAAATTATAAAAAAAAAATGTATTTGAGCAGAAACAATACGTCTATCAGAGAAAAAAATTCAGAGGCAGCTTTTAGAAATATTCAAACTCGAATTCATTTAGTTTTGGCGATTCTGAAAAAATGGCTGCAATTTTCAATGAAATGAAGTTGCAAACATCTCTTGGAGTCAGAAACCAACAAACAAATTCTTTAGGTAATTTTAAACGTGATCGGAAGAAGGTCAAAAATTTTGTAAGGAGGGGTATTGAAAAACTGAGCTTTTGGCAAAATTACTTTAAATACTTAAATACCGTACTTAAAAATTACTTAATTTTAGATATTGCTCAGAAAAAGGTCAAAAATTTCGTAAGGAATGGTAGTGAAAAAAGTGAGCTTTTGGCTAAGCTTCTTAAACAAGATGAAAGATATTTTTCAAAGAGCCGAACCGAAAAACATTGCTTATTGATGGAATTAAATATTTAGGGCAACGTCGGAAAAACTGGCTGGTCAAAAATAATGAACAATATTGTGTTTAGGCAGGAATAATACGTCTATCAGAGGAAATAATAATTCATAGTCAATACGGCAACTGGTTTGCGAAATATTCGAGCTTAAAATCGTATTTTTAAGATATCACAAATTTTCTTACATTTAGTTTCGGCTATTCTTGAAAAGCAGTAGAAAAATCCTCTGAAGCAACAAAATTCCTCCGAATCCTACACGAACTTCCACCAGAAGTTTGACTCATTCACTTGTTGCTCCAGATTTATTTTACCGTAATTTGTTCCTGTAGCGTTATCCTTTAATAAATTGTTACCACCTACACGAATCTTAGCAGCCTTTAGCAAAACATTACAAAAGATAAAATGAGTCAAAGACGTAACATTTATTTATGATATTAATTAGTATCCGTCTCATCCGCCTCAAATAACACTAGATACAAAACTAGGCTAAGCAGAACGCCCGATTTTCTTCGGCGCTTCCACTCTCAACGTGTTAAAGTGGAAATTAAGCCATGTGCAATAAGCAATCCCGAGAGGCTTTTCATCGATCGCACCTATTGTGTCGAGTGCAATAAATCTCGCTTTATTACCAATTCAATCTGTGCCATTAATATAATTTTGTTAGAGTCCGCTGAAAACGAAAATGTTTTTAGGTCATCGAGCGCACAGCGTTTTCGTGGGAGTTCATGTTCCCGCCGAAAGGAAACACTCGCACAGGAGACATAGACATCATCGCAGAAGCTCCTTTTCTGGGCCGACTTCACAGGACAATAGACCCAGTAAGTGGAGAGGATGCATGATGCCCTGGTGCAGATTATTTTCTTTCTTGTTTTTTATATTTTAGTCGCATTTTCTTTTTTTTTTTTTTGTTATTATATTATGGCATGCTCTTACTTGTTGAAATTCAGTGACTTCGGATGACATAAGAGCGCTGAAGGGACTTCTGAACTCCCTTTACCTGCTTGATCTTTCGCCCGTACAGAAAACTGAGGGCGTTCTATTTTAGGTTTACAGAAACCAGTCTGACGTGAATAATAGGGCCCTTCAACGGCAGACTTTGGCAAAACATGAATTTGCTCTAGGTCAAAACACGAGCCACTGAATCTTCCACGGATTTTCTTAAACTCTAAAGCAAGCTGAATTTGACCCTTCTTGTCATAGACAGTTATTATTAATTTTGTATAACAACAAAGCATTCTAACTTGAAAATTCCATCGCGCTCGAACAAAAGCAAACATTTCTCTTTTAATGTTTTTTGTCAGCATGTTTATTCCCTTTGAGGACGTAAAAACGACCGATACCTACAATATCGGGAATAAATAATCTGACATCTTTACAATTCCGAGTGGCGTTTTATCAAAGTAACCCATAAAAGTTTTCCAGCTTGACCTGGATTCCAATCGCCTTTGAATTTTTAGTCAAAGCATAACCGATGCAACGAAATCCTTTAAAGTCGCTGATGTTCGGAATTTTACCAAACCAATTTTCTTTGGATTTTTCAATTTTTCGTTTCCACAATTTTTCATGTTCCCGATTTTTATTTTTCAATATGGCGAATGTTTAATTTTTATTTTCTCGATTTATATCACAATTGTCCGTTTTTTCATTTTCTTTATTTTCCGTGTTTTTTTTTCGATTTTACAATTTTTCATTTGTTCAATTTTTCAAATTTTCAGGCTTTGAATTTTCAGTTAGTCCATTTTTCAATTTTTAAATTTTTCGCTTTGTAGTTTTTGGATTTCCAGTCTTCCGATTTTCCAATTTCTTTAATTTTCAATATTTTTATTTCATAATACATATTTCTTTTTTTTTATTTTTTACTTTTTCGATTCTTAAGATTTTTCAAGTTTTCATTTTGTAATTTTTCGTTTTTTATTTTTGATTTTTCAATATTACAGTTTTTCATTTTTCGATTTTTCAGTTTATCAATTTTTTTTCCCTTTTCCAATTTTTTGTCTCCGATTTTTATTTTTCATTTTCCCGATTTTTTAATTTTCACTTTTTCGATTGTATGTCACAATTTTTCGTTTTTTCATTTCCTTCATTTTTTGTTGCTTCTTTCGGTTTTATAATTTTTCGTTTATTCAATTTTTCAAATTTTCGGGTTTTTTTTTCAATTTTTCTTCAACTTTTCGTGTTTTATTTTCACTTTTTACATTTTCAAATTTTTATTATGCTTACACTTTTTCGTTTTTTTATTTTTGATTTTATAATTTTACAGTTTGTCGACTTCTAAATTTCCCAATTTTTCAATATTACAATTTCTCATTTTTCCATTTTTCACATTCTCGATTTTTAATTTTTCCCTGTTTCAATTTTTCGTTCCCTAAATTTTTCAACTCCCCGATTTCTATTTTGCATTTTCCTGATTTTGTATTTTTTATTTTCTCGATTTATATCACAATTGTCCGTTTTTTCATTTTCTTTATTTTCTGTTTTTATTTCGATTTTACAATTTTTCATTTGTTCAATTTTTCCAATTTTCAGGCTTTGAATTTTCAGTTCGTTCATTTTTCAATTTTTAAATTTTCCGCTTTGCAGATTTTGGATTTCCAGACTTCCGATTTTCCAATTTCTTTAATTTTCAATATTTCTATTTCATAATACATATTTCTTTTTTTTTTGTTTTTCACTTTTTTGATTCTTAAGATTTTTCAAGTTTTCATTTTGTAATTTTTCGTTTTTTATTTTTGATTTTTCAATTTTACAATTTCTCGACTTCCGAAATTTTCAATTTTTCGTTCCTTCAATTTTTCGATTTGCATCAGTTTTGCAATTTGGCAATTTTTCAATATTACGGTTTTTCATTTTTAAATTTTTCAGTTTATCAATTTTTAATTTTTCCCTTTTCCAATTTTTTTGTTTCCGATTTTTATTTTTCATTTTCCCGATTTTTTAATTATCAATTTTTTGGATTCACAATTTTTCGGTTTTTCATTTCCTTTATTTTTTGTTGCTTCTTTCGATTTTACAATTTTTCGTTCATTCAATTTTTCAAATTTTCAGGCTTTTTCAATTTTTCTTCAAATTTTCAAGTTTGATTTTCACTTTTTACATTTTTCAAGTTTTTATTATACACTTTTTTGTTTTTTCGTTTTTGATTTTTGAATTTTACAATTTGTTGGCTTCCAAGATTTCCAATTTTTGAATATTACAATTTCTCATTTTTCCAATTTTCACATTCTCGATTTTTAATTGTGCCCTTTTTCTATTTTCTGTCCCCTCAATTTTTCAATTTTCAACTTTCGATTTTTCAATTTTCGACTGTTTTATATATATTTTGATTTCTGAATTTTTCTATTTCAGTTTTCACTGCTTGTATATTTTAATTTTTCTTTTTTCCGAATTTTTTAATTTTCGATTTTTCAATTTTTTGAAAACTCGATTTATCGAGATTCGGATGTTTCGATGTTTTAATTGTCTCAGTTTTTGAATTTTTCGATGTTTCGATTTTTCGATTTATCGGTTTTTCACTTTTTTACTTTTCGGCTTTTCGATTTTTGAATTTTTCCAATTTTTCATTTACTCAATTTTTCAAATTTTCAGGCCAGTCGATTCCAATTCATCGAATTTCCAATTTTTAAATTTTTCAGTTTGCAGTTTTTGGGTGTCCACCCTTTTTTTACTTTTTGGATTCCAATTTTTGGTTAAACTTTAGATTTTTCAAATTTTCGACAGATTTATACTTCGATTTCTCAATTTTTTTTCAACTTTTCGATGTTTTAATATTTCTTTTTTTAAATTTTTCAATTTTTTTTTATTTCCCGATTTATCGAATGTTTTGATTGTTCAATTTCTCAATTTTTTTTATTTCCCGATGTTTCGATTTTTGGATTTCTCGATTTTCCGATTTTCCAATTTTGCAATATTTCAGTTGTTCAATGTTTTAAATTTTAGATTTTTCGATTTCTGGATTTTTTAATTTTCCAGTTCCAGTATTTCTATTTTCCAATTTTTCAAATTTTGACGTTGCTAAATTTTCAGTGTTCCGATTTTTCAATTAATATATATTTTTTTTACTTTCCCGTTTCTCGAATTCGCAATTTCGATTTTTCAGCTCTTCAATTCTTCGATTTTTGGATTTTTCGGTTGGCTAATTTTTTAGTTTCTTAATTTTGGATATTTGTTTCAGTTTTGGGATTTTTCAATATTTCTACTCTTCGACTTTTCGATTTTTTATTTTTTGGATTTTCAGTTTTTCGTTTTTTAAACTTTAGATTTTTCAATTTTTGACTGTTTTACATATATTTCGATTTCTGAATTTTTCCAGTTTTCAGTTCTTGTACATTTTAATTTTCTTTGTTCCGAATATTTTATTTTTCGATTTTTCAATTTTTTGAGAACTCGATTTATCGAGATTCGGATGTTTCGATGTTTTGATTGTCTCAGTTTTTGTATATTTCGATTTTTCGATGTATGGGTTTTTCGTTTTTTTCGTTTTTTGAATTATCCGATTTTTCAATTTTCCAATTTTTTAAATTTTCAAGTTTTAATGTTTCTGAATTTTCAATTTTCCGATTTCTCAATTAATCTATTTTTTGATTTGCCCATTTTCGACTTTTCAGTTTCTCAATTTTTCGTTTCCACAATTTTTCATGTTCCCGATTTTTATTTTTCAATGTGGCGAATTTTTAATTTTTATTTTCTCGATTTATATCACAATTGTCCGTTTTTTCATTTTCTTTATTTTCTGCTTTTTTTTTGATTTTACAATTTTTCATTTGTTCAATATTTCAAATTTTCAGGCTTTGAATTTTCAATGCATCCATTTTTCAATTTTAAAATTTTTCACTTTGCAGTTTTTGGATTTCCAGTCTTCCGATTTTCCAGTTTCTTTAATTTTCAATATTTCTATGTCATAATACATATTTCTTTTTTTTATTTTTCACTTTTTCGACTCTTAAGATTTTTCGTTTTTTATTTTTGTTTTTTCAATTTTACAATTTCTCGACTTCCAAAATTTTCAATTTTTCGTTCCTTCAATTTTTCGGTTTGCATCAGTTTTTCAATTTGGCAATTCTTCAATATTACAATTTCTCATTTTTCCATTTTTCACATTCTCGATTTTTAATGTTTCCCTTTTTGAATTTTTCGTCCCCTCAATTTTTCAACTCCCCGATTTTTATTTTGCATTTTCCTGATTTTTTTATTTTTCATTTTCTCGATTTTATATCACAATTTTTTGTTTTTTCATTTCCTTAATTTTTGTTGTTTCTTTTGATTTTCCGATTTTTCGTTTACTCAATTTTTCAAATTTTCAGGCCAATCGATTCCGATTAATCGATTTTCCAATTTTTAAATTTTTCAGTTTGCAGTTTTGGGGTTTCCACCCCTTTTTTACTTCTTGGATTTTCAATTTTTCGTTAAACTTTAGATTTTTTAAATTTTCGACAGTTTTATACTTCGATTTCTCAATTTGTTTTCAACTTTTCGATGTTTTAATATTTCTTTTTTAAAATTTTTCAATTTTTTTTATTTCTCCATTTATGGAATTCAGATGTTTGGATGTTTTAATTGTTCAATTTCTCATTTTTTTATTTCTCGATGTTTCGATTCTTGGATTTTTCGATGCTTCAGTTTTTCAGTTATCCGATTTTTCAATTTTTTTAAATTCTGGAGTTCCGATTTGTCGATTTTTCAGTTTTTCGATTTTTAAGTTTTAGATTTTCAAATTTTTCTTTTTTGATTCTTTGATGTTTGGATTTCTCCATTTTTCAATTTTGCGATATTTCAATTGTTCAATGTTTTAAATTTTAGATTTTTCGATTTCTGGATTTTT